GTCCTGGGAAAACCGAGGAGAGTTGATCCCCCTCTTGGGGGGGGCGGGTGCATGCAGGGTGGGGGCTGGGCTTCTACCCCTGACCTTCACCGCTGTTCTCTCTCCCCTCCCTCCCCCTTCTGCCTCGGTTTCCCTCCGGCTCACGCTCATCCCCTGCCTCCCCCCCTCAGGTGTTCCTGACGGCCACCCACTCCCACAGTTCCCCATTTGACGTCCTGGAGGGCTACATCTGCCCCGTGCTGTTTGGGACGGCCTGGGGAGGTGACCATCACCATGACAACCATGGCATGGCCCATGGCATGGCCCATGGCGGTGGGCCGGGTGCCCAGCATTCGACTCTGCCAGCCAAGTCTAAGGAGGACCTGAACGAAGGTTCCAGAAAGAAGAAGACCAAGAAGGCGGATTAAGGCAGATTAGGAGGCTCATGAGACACCCCGGAGAGGACCGGGGTCCAGGACTCCCAGAGGCGGGGCCTCCTGGGCTCAGATTTCTCCTCGCTGAGCCTCAATTTCCCCATCTGCACATGAGGGCCATCAGCTCACCCTCCAGGGCTAGGCGGGGGACGGGGATTAAATGAGATCTGGAGGCGAAGGATTCTTGTAGGGATGGAGGGGCCCTCTCTCTGCCCCTTTTGTGAGTGCGACGCAGAATCCAGGCAGCAGCTCCAGCTAGAAAACTCTGCCCAGCCTTTTCTTGGCTCTGTCTTTACTTCCTTAAAACCGCATCCTGACTCCAAAAGAATTTCAAGCCATAGCGAGACTCCGTTATCCGATGGCTGTTTCCAGACTCCTGCTGCAAACTAGGTGCTGGGATTTTCGGAGTCTCTTCTTGCCCAGGCTCCTTAGTGGCTAGATTTTCTCCTGTGCCTAGAAATGGAAGTGCAAAGCGTGGGATCGAGAGGTGGCGTGATGATTAAGGCGTTGGACTCCCACGTGGCAGACCGCGGTTCGAGTCCCAGGCTTGGCAGCTTGCTTTCTCACTTTCTTTCTGTCTCTCTCTCTCTGGACAAATAAAAGCAACAAATAACAATAAAATTAAGTAAATAATTCTTTAAAGAAAAAGAAAACAGATTTGTATTTCTAAAAAAACAAAGAGAGAGGGAGAGTTCCAATACGACTAATTGTTTTTGGGGGAAGTGGCACCCCTTCTCTGAGCCTTACGATCCCTATCTGTGAGGAAGGGCTGACATGAGGATGGACGTGAAAAAGTCTTATAAGCTCAGAGGCACCGAGCATTCGGGAGGGGAGACCAGGGTGGTTGTCAATGATGGTTGAAAACAACTTTCCATTTTATTTTATTTTAGTATATATTGTTTAAGGTTTTTGCTGTCGGGCACATGCCCTCGTCAGAGAAAGACAGACAGAGGGAAAGTGAGAAATTATGCCCTGCAGGGGGGATGGCCACGCAGCAATCTCTTCTCCTCTATTCTCCTCTCCGGCTTTGGAGCATGCACGCACACACTCTTGGCGTGATTTTTTTTTTTTTTTTTTTTTTTTTTTTTTTTTGAGAGATTTTCACTGTAGGGCGCGTGCGCTCGCCAGACAGACAGAGAGAGACATAGAGACA